TGATGGAGGTGGGTCTTGTATCTTATCTGTTGATTTCATTGGTTAATAATAAAGAAACTGCCTCGCCCTCATAGGACAGAAAATTAGGTAGGCGGAGTAGACAGAGGAGAATGCTGGGGAAAAGAAGCTTAGTGAAGAGTCGCCATGATGCTCCCACGCCAGACAGATGCAGGTTAAGATACTCCCTGGTAAGCCAGCTCGTGAGCTACACAGAATATTAGAAATGGGTTAGAACAATATGTAAGAGCTAGCCAATAAGAAACTGGAACTAGCCGGGCCAGGCAGTGTTTGAAAGAATACAGTTTCCGTGTAATTATTTCGGGCATAAGCTAGCCATGGGGGCAGCCGGGTGCCAGGGACGCAGCCCCGCCGCTCCTATTTCAACATCAGACAGTTGAAAAAGTTCAGTCCTGAGGCTTTTTGGAGACAACTGACTGGCCCAGGTTCAAAGGAAGGAGTACTCAGAAGTGTGACTTCCCCTCCAGAAAGTAGCCAGAGTCTAAGAGCCCCAAGTCTGTGAGAGTTACTGCCCATCATGGACTTGAATGAAGAGGATGGATTGTATTCTGTTTTCTGCCTCCTGTGAGCCTCACAACATTCAGGAGCTTGTGCTAGGACAGCACCATGATGACCCTCACTGTGCTCTGTAGCCTTTCTTAAGACCCTAGCTGAGGGCCGCTGGTGTCCCCTGCTGTTGAAGTCCCTCGGAATCTGTCTAAATGGCCCTAGTGGAAGCATCAGTCCAGAGCCAGCTACCCTGCTAATAAAGGTGACGAGGGAGGCCCTGGAAAAAGAAAAAGAAAATATCCCTATAAATTATGCTATATATTGAAAATATTGTCTTTGTAGAGTGATGAAGGCACCTATAGCAGACAAAAGTAGAAGCAAATTATAGTGAAAAAAATTTTTTTTTTCATAAAATAGGAAAACTCAGAGATCTGAAAGGAAAAACCTCCTTAGTTAATGTCAAGGAAATGGGCTTTCAGGTACAATACATATTTCAGTTCTTGTGTCTAAGTGGATAGTTAGGAGACATGTAATTTTAAATCCTATCAGAAATCCCTGTGAGCTTGGATCAGGCCATAATTAACTTAAAATTCATCACTTTCTACAAAGTACTAGTGTAACTAGAAAGACTAAGAAACAGCCAGCACATTATGCTCTAAACACTACAGGGTTTTTAGAACACCTCCCCACCCTAAGCTCTGCCCACTATCCAACTTGCCCTTGGGGGTTGTACACAAACAAGTAGTCCAACTAGATAGGGCAGCAATGACAAAATAAAATAACGGTTTCACCCATGCCAGGTTTGATAAAACAATGAATCGATTATTACTAAGTTTTTTCACAGAACATGGCTGGGGGATCTTATAGGAGCTAGGAAAGCCAGCTATATTACTTAATTATACACTAAAAGACTAAGGGGCAATGACTCACCTAACTCGCACCCTAGAGTTTCGGTTTAAGCCAATGCCAACCAAGAGTCTCCCTTCAGAGAAATTGCTTTATGTGTACACAATCTTAGGAAAGATACCTTGGAAGACAGAACTTTCTGAGTTTCCTGAGGTTAGCAAATTTCATGAAGTTTCTTGAGCCCAGTGAATCATGTGAGCTTAGGTATGGCTGGATTAAATTCTCCGCTTCACACAACCTACAGTCATCTGAGAAGGAAGACTCTAGAAGATTGCCCTGATTGGATTGGCTTATATTGGGAATATCTATGGGGAATTGTTTTGATTTTTAATTGATGTAGGAGACCCCAGGCCATTGTGGCTGGTGATATTTCCTGGGTATGTGGTCCTGAGCTGTATGGTAAAAGCTAACTATGGATGAGCCTTTATGCAAACAGCAAGCAGCATTCCTCCATTGCTTCTTTGTAGCGTTCTTGATTGCATTCCTGCCCTGATTTTCCTAAATGCTAACTGGGACCTGTAACTGAAATGCCCCTTCTTCTCTAGGCTGGTTTTGAACTTTGTCACAGTAGAATGGACCTAGAATACTTCCTGGGTCACAAAATTTCCTCTTTCTCCCTAGAGGGGGTGTTTCAATTTAAAGTAATACTGCAAATATTGCACTCTAGTTTAGAACCAATCCAGAATGTTTGTTTTGAAGGTTCTAGGATGATTGCCATAAAATTACAGTATTTTTCTTTTAATACAG